CTTGAGCACTGGATAAGGGTCGATTCCGCGTGGCGCACGGGACCCCTCGATCGTCTCGCCCCCCCCCCCCCCTCACTGGTGTGTTCATTGGGGGGGGGGGGGTCATCACAAACACGGTACAGGATCGAGGTGCACGCTGCTGAAGCAGTGTCTTCCCCCCTCTCCCCGACGGCGATGGCGGTGTGACCGATCGAGCTACATACAAGAGGAACTCGTTCTATATTCTTTTTCGAAGCGATTTTCAGCGATTTTCACACGGAACAAACGAATATTCATTTTCTTCTCAATTTAACAAGGCTGTGAACAAACCTGTCTCTCCCCCTTCTCGACTGTCTGTGCTTGTGCGTCTTGGGTCCGGAGTTGTGCGTTTATGTGAACAAACCTGGGGTTGTGCGTTTAGAGAGAGAGATTTTTAGCAATACCAAACAACTCTAACACACCAACGTCCTGTACAGACGGCACGCAGTGGGATTGGCCGCAGCAGTGGTGGCATGACAACCGCAGAGGCCGCACTCGGGGATGGGCACGCGAGTGCAGTGGGCACAAGCACGGAGGGGCGTTGTGCCGCCTCACGGGGCGCCAAAGGGGTACGGCTCCTCCGCCGGGCCAAACTTGGCCCACATCATCTCCGGCGTCCGGTAGGGGCCCGTGCCAGCAGTGGTCACCCGGTGGACCGCCGCCTCGACGTCGCCGCGAAACTGCGGGTCGGCTCTGTGCTGCCGCCACCTGTCCGCCAGCCCAGTGGCGAACTCAGTCACCGCGTCGCGCTCGATCCGCACCGGGGCCTGCGACTCCCCCGATCGCGGCGGTCCGGCCGTGCGGAGCAGCAGCACGAGATCCTCCTTGTCCTCGATGTACATTGGCCGCGGCGGCCCGACGGTGGGCGGCTCCTTGAGCCAAAACACGCGACCGTAGGCAAAGTCGACGCGCCGTCTCTTGCGCTCGCGCGGCGCCGCCGAGCCTGACCCGGAGGGCCCTTGGGCTGCCGGGCGGTGGGGCGCTTGGTTGGAGAGGAGGTCGTCCAGCTCTGCTCGCGAGGGGCGATCCACCGGCCACGGCAAGCCCGCCTCGCCGGCAAGGGTCGCGAGCAACGGCTCGGGGACCGGCGCGCCTCCGCGGTCGAGCGCACCGCCTCCCTCCAGCAGGCGGAAGCCGGCGGCGGCCCACGTGTGCCACGGTGGGCGCGTGGGGCTGCTAGCGGAGGAGCACCCTGCAACGGCGGCGCCTCCGCCCTCGTCGGCGCCGCCGCCCTCACCGCCGCCGCCCGCCGCCTCATGGTCGGGGCGAGCGCGCTTGTGCCGATGTTCGGACTTGCGCCGTTGTTCCGGCTTCACGCGCGCCCGCTGCCTCGAAGAGCCCTCGTGCTCACCCTGCGGCCCGGGAGCGGGCGGGGGGGGGGGGGGGAAGGGGGGTATAACACGGGGTGGGCGGCCCGGGGGGCGTGTCCCACGCCTTTGGGAGAGCCAGTACAACCGGTGCGCCTCCGCCCATGGGCGACCCGGGAGTCCCGGTCGCCACCGGCGGAGCGCGTCGGACGCCGGCACGATCGGCGCGCGCTGCAGCTTTACGGGGCGCAATAAGCGAGCACGCCCGTCTCTGGGATGGGCCCAGGCGGCCCGGGGATGAACCTCTGTGCCGAGAGGCATGTACACACCGCTGCCAGCCGCCGCTCGAGCTCCTCGCCGGCCTGGGCGGCGGAAAGTGGCGCTGGAAGCCACGGCCGCAGCAGCGAGAGCGGGACGGGCTTGCCAAACGGCGCGTCGCCGCCGCCCCACTTCCAGAGTTCGACCGGCGCGTGGGCGGCGAGCGGCGAAAAGGGCTCCCTCAGGTGCTGACCGTTGACCCACTTGCGGCTCTCCGCAGTCCCCAGAAGGGATTCATCTGGTCCGTCGACGATGTAGCACTCGAGAAGCAGCGAGTGGTGCAGGCAGCCAAAGAGAGAGGCGCAGGCGTTGGTGAGGGCCACAGTCGCCGGGTACATCTTGCCGATGTGGCGGCGCGCGAGGGCGGGGCCGGCGACGAGCTTCGCCGTGCCGGCCCTGAACCAGTCCAGGCCCGACACCTCAAAGACGAGCACGGGCAGCCCGCCCACGCGGAGGAACGCAAAGAGACTGCTCGCGCCGCAGTGCACCATTTTCGTGGCAGATTCGCCGCCGGCCGCTCAGTTTTCTTTTTGCGGACCGAGCCGGGCCGGAAGGCGGATCCTCCGAGGGATCATCATTGGAGGTATTGTAAATGGAGGACACCTAGTGGGATACTGCTCGTTCCCAGGGAGCACACGTCCCCGTTCACACCTACACACGGGTAATCAACCCCGCTCCCCCATGAATATGAATCGCCGAACTCGAACGGCGGGCGCTTGACGAACCAGGGGGGAACGGGCGTGGCAACCACAACCACGTCGGGCGTGGTTGTGGCAACTCATGATCGAACCAGCGACTCATAGAGTCGAACCACGACTCATAGAGTCGAACGTAACCACGGCGGACGTGGTAGTGGCAACCACGGCGGACGTGGTTGTGGTCGGTCATGATAAAACCGGAAAGGAATAACAGAAGCCACCCCCACGACTGAAAAGTCTTAATGGACCTGTCCTAGACTCTGTGGCTGAAGTAGCGAGTGCGTCGAAGCCACAAGAGGGCTGGCGTCGTCCGGAGTTCCTTGAGAGGGGGGGTTGGCGTATTTTAGCTTTTCTTAACGGTTGTTGGGACTAATCGATTTCACAGCGTGCTGGTCGTGAAGAGGCGCTACTATGGAGATCGAGGGAGACCAGGAACTGTCGAGCGGCCGCAAGGCAAAGGCCGCGCGCACAGAGAAGCTCCCCCCCGCCGTCGAGGGAAGGGCCGAGGGCGTGTCAAGCCCGTCGGCCCCGGACAAGGTCAAGGCGCTGTTCACGGGCGCGGTCATGACGCCCGAGCTCGCGCCGGAGTCCACCCTCCAAGAAGAAGGAAACCTGTGCCCGCAGTCGGGGCTCTCGCCCCCCGGTGTGAACATGGACACGCCGTGGTGGGAGGGCGCTGGCGCCCCCCACCCCTCGCAGTTTGGTAGCGGCGGCGCAGGTTTCAGGCCACCCTCCCCGCCACAAGACGGGGGGCTGGCCGGCCTCGCGATAAAGGGCACGAAGGGGCTGCGCGAGCGGCTCCTGCATCCTAACCCTTTCGCGAGGAGCGAAGCCGAGTCTACCGCCTTCGCGCTCGAGGCTATTCATAGCAACTACTGCCACACCTGCCCTGACGGGTGCTATGGCACTATGTTCGGTTGCTGCTTCGAGACTTGCAAGTCATCGATGTGGCCGATGACTGCCTCATTCATCCGACTATTCGTCAACAAGGTGGAGAGCACGTGCCACCCGTGCGACCTGTGCATCTGCGTCGAGGGGCGCAGTGCAGTCGACATGCTCCTAGGGGTCGACCGGCGCCTCCCGATGCAAGGGGACCCGCCCGCTGAGGAGATGGCGCAGGAAATTGCATACCGCGCGATGTACGACCTTGTCACCATTATCTCCAAGCGCCAATTTGAGCGCAGCGGCTCCCGCGGAGGCGAATTCCGTATGGGCGACCTCCTCCTCAACCTCAAGCTAGCGGTCGACATCCTGGATGCCAAGGCGATCGACCCCGAGAACTGGCTGGGGGCAGTCCAATGGGGGGAGATCAAGGCGCTTACCAAATACGCCTTTGACGAGCCAACGTTCGCACACGTTTGGGGTCCGCCTGAGGGCGTGGCCCTGAGGCACTGGACGTTTTCCGCCATGACCGACTTCATGGATACGGGCGAGTTGCTCTCGTGCTTTGGAGATGCGCTGGGCGATATCTCGCCCGACCTCGAGGCGGCAATGGCCGAGGTTAAGGTGGCGAGCGATTCAAGGGGGGCAGCCGATGCGGAGCTTGAAGAGGCGGCGAAGAGCATTGCCGAGCTCGGCGGCCCTTGAGGAGGCGACTGAAAGGCTGGCCGCCCTCGAGAATCAAGATGCAGCGATTCCGAATGAGAAAACCGCCGAAGTTGCGAATCTTGACAACCACCCTGCTTTCGCACCACCCTGCTTTCGACCACCCTGCTTTCGCACCCCTCGCACCATGCCGCTTATGCAGGCCGACGCCACGCCCTCGCCATTCGACATGGTGGCTGACGACAGCCGCGAGCCGAGCGAGGGTGAGGACCCACCCGAGCTGCTCGACCTGCGAACCCCATTCCCATCTCCGAGCCCGTCTCCGCAGCCCCTTCCGGACCCACCAACTGTGGTGGGGGAGCCAACCGAGGAGGGCGGCGCTGACACCGTGGGGCCTGGGCGCGGCGCAGGCGTCGCCCTGACCGCCGCCACCGGCGGCGGCGCGGGGCACATGGGCGTGGAGGCCACCCCGCCTGGCCGCACCATGGAAGACGCGGTGGAGCGGCGTGAGGGTGCGGAGGTGACCGTGCTCATTCACGTGTCCGACGCGTTTGTCGCCGGCAAGGAAGCCGAGCTGCACGAGATACTGACCACCCTCCAGGACAAGCTGGCCGTCTCGCGCCACATGGGCAAGCGCATCAACTACATGGGCGTGGACTCCTATTTCCGGCTGTCCGGCGGCATGTTCTCGGCTAACTTCTCGCCGAACGCGTATGCCCCGTCCTCCCGGTGGGTCATCCCCGAGGAGGAGATGGCGGGGCTCGCGAGCCAACTCTTCCGCGTCGCCCTCATGCACGTGCGCCTCTCCGTCGCGCCCAACAAGTTCGTCCTCATCCGCCCGAAGCACGTGACCGACCTCACCGACCGGATGGGCCCGGGCGACAACGTCCTCAACGCGAACAGCGGGAACCCCGCTGAAGTGTGGTCGTACTACGCGCGCATGGCCATCCTCTCCCTCCTGCACAACCTCGGCTACGCGTCGATTGCCCTCCCCAAGGTCTACTACGGCGGCCACACGACGCCTTGAGAGGGGGGGTTGGCGTATTTTAGCTTTTCTTAACGGTTGTTGGGACTAATCGATTTCACAGCGTGCTGGTCGTGAAGAGGCGCTACTATGGAGATCGAGGGAGACCAGGAACTGTCGAGCGGCCGCAAGGCAAAGGCCGCGCGCACAGAGAAGCTCCCCCCCGCCGTCGAGGGAAGGGCCGAGCCCGAGGGCCTGTCAAGCCCGTCGGCCCCGGACAAGGTCAAGGCGCTGTTCACGGGCGCGGTCATGACGCCCGAGCTCGCGCCGAAGTCCACCCTCCATGAAGAAGGAAACCTGTGCCCGCAGTCGGGGCTCTCGCCCCCCGGGGTGAACATGAACACGCCGTGGTGGGAGGGCGCTGGCGCCCCCCACCCCTCGCAGGGATAGAGAGGCGACAGCGGGCCGAACTCCCTCCCCCCAACCTTTTTTTTTCTTCTCTCCTCACCTCCAAATTTTTTTGATTCCTCTTCCTTTATGAGGCGGCGCCTCGCCTCTTTTGTCATCTTTTGAATTCCCAGCGGCTCTCGATTCGTGGTTCGCCCCTCCATCGAGTGGCTGCCGGTTCGAACTCCCGATTGCATAGTCTAGTGGTCAGGACTCCTCGTCGTGGCCGAGGCGACCCGGGCTCGATTCCCGGTGCGATCATTTTTCAAACTCCCCCCTTTTTCCTCCTCCCCCCTTTTTTTGCTTCTTGCCCTTTCCTTTCCTCCTCCCCCCTTTTTTTCTTCTGGCCCTTTCCCTTTCCTCGCCTCCTCCCGCCTTTTTCGCTCCTGGCCCTTTCCTTTCCTTCTGGCCCTTTCCCTTCCTTTGGCACCTCCAACCTTTTTTCCTTCTGCAACCTTTTTTCCTTCTGGCCCTTTCCTGGCCTGCTGCCCCCT